TACTATTTAACACTATCTTCACGTGTTTCTCTTTCTCTCTTTTTTTCTTCCCATATCGACTCTCTCCCTTTCTCTCTCACGTCTCTCTTTCTATCCACTTTTCGCTCAGCTCTCTCCCTTTAATTGGCTCACGTTTCTTTCTCTCTCTTAACTTTACACTCACGTCTCTCTCCCTCTCTTTATTTTAAACTCACGTCTCTATACTTTTCCGTCTCTGTCTACTTTCATTCACGCGTCTCCCTCTCTCTTTCTACTTTACGCTCACGTCACTGTGTCTCTGTCCTTCGCCCCCTTTTCTTACTCACCACTCCACTGGCTATACATAAAAAATTAATAAATTCTCAGGCGGCTACACCCAATTGGACATAGAAACGCTTCCTTTATCAACATGTGTTATTTGAGCTTCTATTTATGTCTACTGAAAATTGTTTTTTCTTCGAACTGAAAATTAACTTGTGAGATTTAAAAAAAAAATATCTTCAACGCGGTTTATCGTTAGTCTTCGAGAATCCACGTGTCTAAATTTCCCAGCAGAAGCGAATTATTGCAAAGGGGCTTCCACAAAAATGCTTTATGTTGATGAGAAACTGCAGCTACTACCAATCTTTTAGAGTTGTAAACATTGACTGTCACGATATGCTAATCACTTCATAATACAACAAACCAATGCAGTCAAAATAGTAGTAGTAGTAGTTTGTGATCATTTCCAGTTGAGGATGAGGACACAATATAAACTATTTCTTTTGTGATGCCCATAAAACTTAACTGTTTTATAGAAACTGGCAATTGTTTTTTTTCTTTTTCTATTCTTTCGACTTTGTTCTCTGTTGATTATTGAATATATTAAGAATAAAGTAGTTTTGTCGATACGCTGAATGAAAAAATATATTTATAAATAAAATATATTTATAAATAAATTCTGTTTTGAATATTTTTAATACATTTTTTGCTTGAATGGCCTTTCCTTGTGTGTTTATATATATATATATATATATATATATATATATATATATATATATATATAGTACGATAGCGGCTTGGATTGAGGAATCGCAGGGCCGAGTTCGAATTCCAGTCGAATCCATTACATTCACTTACGTGCTAATAAGGTATGAATCCTCTCCCTCCAGCTATGGGTAAAATAGCAGGACACTGGGTTTTATAGCCTTGGATGGCAACTGGTCTAGGAGAAGGACAACTCTGAATCCAAAACCTGCGGAGGGTGGTTTCGGTGCACCAGGTCTCTGTATTCATCCCTTCAAAAAATATGGATGGTCCTGCACGAGGCCTTCACCACTATAATCAAATCTCATGTGCCTGTGTCAGGCTGCCGATTTCCTGAAACTGATCTGCTTGACCCTCATACGTCGAATCTCGATTATATTATATATATATATATATATATATATATATATATATATATATATAAGGATGCTGAGAGTGCCATGAACAGAAGTTGTGAGTAAAGAAAAAGTTCTAGAGAAAATCTAAACAAAAAGGACAATTTTATTTAGAATTAGAAAACAATTTAAATTTCTTGAGCGCATTGCGAGAAAAAGGGCTTGGAAAATTTAACACTCATAAGACATGTTGATGATGCGAAAGGCAGACGAAAGCAGTGAATAACCTACTCAACGAGCTTTTGTAAATGGCTGACAGAATAAGGGTTAGCAAAAAAACATTGCTATGAGCTACAAAAGCCAGGAAGTTGTGGAGAACCATCATCGCTCACGTCCGGAAGAAAGACAGAACATAGAATGTGGACGCAGGCTTCCAGTGTGTATATCACTGAGGCAGATATATGTATACAAATGTAGTAGGCAGATGTTGCCTTGTATATGTGATATATATATATATATATATATATATATATATAATTCCACCAGCCTTTTCATGGTTGAGATAAAGATAAATAAACTTACCTAAACTAAGAATGTTGTAGTCGCATCCATCAAACTCCATAAAATTGTGGCTGAACATTATACCCGTTATCTATATGGGAACGTAAAAATACACAAACCAAGGTCCATGCATAAAAATTCCATGATTTCACAGATATCCAACGTAGAAAAACATTAATCAAAAACTTTAAACAAAGCGATCCAACGATACTTAACCAATAAATGTAATTTAATCCCACCAACGAATTTCTTCACTATCTACATTCAAAATTAATACCAGTATCAAAGCTTCTTAAATGTTTAAAGAAATACACACACACATATATATAACAACATTTATTCACTTTCGTTTATTAGACATTGAATTATATCATTTACCATCTTCCATAATTTACCAAGACTTCCAGGTAGCTGGTTCTATATTTGTGAGCATTCTTAAATTTAAAATTTCTTAAAATATAGCGATATTTTTAATTATGTTTATAAATATTTGTTGCAAAATAAAATCCATACATTTAACTTGATAAAGTCCATCAGAAGACAAAACTCGTCGGCTAACATAAGTTTAACTTTTTTTTATTATATATATATATATATATATATATATATATATATATATATATATATATATATATAAGGAAAAAACAAAGAAAACGTTTTCGCGTGATGCGTTTCGGACTAGTTTTCAAACTAAAAAAAAACATTGTTTTTTGGGGGTTTTGTTTTTAGTCTGATGAATTCCTAAAGAACAAAACGCGTCACTTGAAAACTTTCCACGTTGTAATGCTTTTCCCCCTGTTGTTAATATATAAAATACTTATATATCACTTTCCTCTCTCTCTCTCTCTCTCTTTATATATATATATATATATATAATGCTGAAGGATTGAATAAACTTTAGAAACGATGTGTTTAGTGTCTCCAACTGCTGGGTTAAAATATGACTGTTTCATGCCGGTGGGTCATTCTTTCCCTTTGTTTGAGTTGAGAGCTTTCTGATAACCGCTCGCGTGTGTGTCAGTATATGTAATCGTATTTATTGTATGATTTTCATTTTGACTAAATAAATAAATAAAATTAACCTCAGAAATAGTAAAGTACTTATTTTAAAAAAAAATCTAATATTCACACAGTAAAGGCTCAAGTGTCACTCATTTCTTAACAATGTAAGTGGTATGGACGTAAGAGTTTCAAATAAATGAGGGTTTGAAAGCGAAGAGCTGAAGATAATAGATTCAAGGAAGCATCCACATGGCTGGCGAATCCATAAAGTAAATTATTGTGAACCTTTTTATCATTGGTATCATTTATTTGAGATCAACCCCAGAGATCAACACTTAAAATGAGCCCTAAAACGAATGAGTAGTGATGCTCGCAATTGATAGACCAATGGGAAGCCAAAAACCAAGCCGTGTCATGGAGTTGCCAATGGGGATACGTAAATAATGATTTTTCAAACGATCACATAAATTGTAATAATCGATTTATTTTCTTATTATTTATTGTTGTTAATATTCTATTCATTACAATTTATAAACTTATATATATGTGTGTGTGTGTGTGTGTGTGTGAACATAGTAGTCAACACTTAGCGGCGAGATGCAATCGTCAGGCCTGACGATTGCATCTATCATGAAACAGACTGTCGCCTCTAAGTGTTGACTTCTATGTTCACTTTTATATTTACACACGCTCTGTCTCTCATATTGAGCACTTTATCCCATAAATATAGCAAATCTTAAGACTATATCTCTTTATATATATATATATATATATATATATATAGCTGGCCACTCGTACACGAGGATACCTGTCTACTATAGTGGCTAGCCAATCCCTGTTGCAGACGCTTGCTCAGGCACATTTGTGTTTATTCAACACCCACAGAGCCCACCTGTGGCTTATACTGCAGCTATGCTGAGCAGACATTAGTTACAGTTTCTGGGAGAGAGAGTGTTATCTAGCCTGATCAACAATTTGAACAAGGCCAGCACACTCAAGCCCTCGGCCATGATGACTTGTGACTTCGTGCTAGCACAGCTATTGATGGGCCCAAGCGTTCCGTCTATCCAGTTTCACTCACAAGACTTTGGTCAAGCCGTGGTATGGTTTTTCAGGCACTTTCCAAATGTACCCCACGCTGGGATCGACCTCGATTCATTCCGATAACATCAGGATGTCACCTTCCTGACAAATCGACTATGGTGAGATTCGAACCGGGGTCTCATGACCAGAATGCGAACACATACACACACACACACACACACACACACACACACACACAATTTGCTTTCACTATTTGTAGGAGAAACCAACGCATTTTTGTAGTCTTTCATATATTGTATTGACAAAGCCTTACCAAATTTCGCACAATTTTTGTATCCTGAATTAGAGACTAACTCACTGTTGTCGTCTCTGAGACGAGTTTTCTAAACCTTTCTCCACGCTAAGGCGTACTTTGTCTATATCGATCAACGAAAAAGTGTACATTGACGGGCCTGAGTAGGTTTGGTTTAATATTAGTCTAAACTTCTTAATTCTTATAATATACATAGGAAAAAAGTAATTAGTGTCGCTTTAGCAGAAAGTTATGTTCTTGGAGTCCCCACTTTGAATCGTTTGCACGAAAACGAATCTGTAAAAATGAATCTGAATGTTGCTTGTTGGCTGAAAAACAAATTCTGGCTTTTTCTGTGGCAACGATTTATACAACCATCTAAGATGTATTTTACCTTTACATGCATACATGACGATGTGGGTAAAGCTAAGGTTATCTGCATCAATTAACCGACTTCGAAGGCCAGCCTCATATGTTGCATTCAATTTCGTACTGATAAATTTGGAAATTATACGAATCTATCTCGTCTCTCGATAGCTACAGGTTGAATAGAAAGGTATCCTTGGCTGGTAGGTAGTCTAGGAGAAAGACAATTCTAAATTCAAAATTGTGGATAACACGACGAAAAACTACTCCATTCTCTTTAGAAGACATGGCAATTTACAAATAATAAAAAATGAAGTTGTTTAATATATTTTGTTGCCCGCTTTTTACGGTAATTTTTTGGGAACTCGACTTTTCTGATATATTTTCTTGCTTTAACATGTTTATTTTTATCAATATAATGATATTTCTTCGAGCTGTGTGCGTGTGTATATATAATATATAATTCCGATAACCAAAAAAACTGTTCTTAAAATAGTGCTCGATACAGAGTAGATAATAATGCATATGTTATAATTTTGAATATATATATATATATATATATATATATATATATATATATCATATCTGAAACCAACATACACGCAAAAACCATAAAATCGTTTATATGAGCGAGAAAGAGAGATCTGTTTACGGATGACAGGTATGTCTATTGAAACACGTGTGCCCACTATATTTATCATAATAAGAAATATATACGTGCCCTAACGTATAAATTTTGGTGCTGAAAAGATCTCGACCCGATTAATGTGAATGACTTAAGGTTTTGAAATATACATTCTATTCCATCTCTACACGTTGTACTTCAACCTGTCTGTTCGACTGTTATCAAATCTCTTTAACTCTTTAAAAAAAAAAAACAAAAAAAAAAACTGTCCATGTTTGATAACTGAAATACTGATTCCAGCGAAGTGGATATGGTCGATAACTTTTTATGCCGTACTCAAGTCAAAAAAGGCATTTATTTATTTATGGATGCTGTGTCGAAAAAAGACGTTTATCACAGCTCAGAAATATTTTTTAAAACTGTTTTGATTGCTGGATCCTAACAGGTAGTTTGCTTCAATATCTCCAGCTGCCGTAAAACACGTCGGAAACACGTGGATGAAGATGAATTGTAGCCGACGCTTTGGAGAAGGAAGTCGACAACAATTGTGGATGCATTCTTTTAAAATGATCGCTTAGTTTTATTACTTTTTTGTTACAATATAAAACCTGGGAGATATATATTTGGACGATTTCAACCATCTGTCAGGCGGTTATATATATATATATATATATATATATAAAATTCAATTTAATGTTTTATCCGTTTAGATTTCAGATGATCTTGAGTCACACGTTGTTTTTTTGTTTTTTTTTTATTATTTATTCTCCCACCCGTACTCATATTTAAGCAGAGATTAATTTATCGCTGGCTTTGAAGAATATTCTCAACCTTCCTCACCACGCTTTCTCTGTCTCACTGGATTTCACTTTTCTCTCGCCTCATTTTGCTTTACTCTCTCGCGCGCCTCACTTTGTTTTACTCTCTCTCGCGCCTCACTTTGTTTTACTCTCTCTCTCTCGCGCCTCACTTTGTTTTACTCTCTCTCTCGCGCCTCACTTTGTTTTACTCTCTCTCTCTCTCGCGCCTCACTTTGTTTTACTCTCTCTCTCTTTCCTCACTTTGTTTTACTCTCTCTCTCTCTTTCCTCACTTTGTTTTACTCTCTCTCTCTCTTTCCTCACTTTGTTTTTCTCTCTCTCTCTCTTTCCTCACTTTGTTTTACTCTCTCTCTCTCTCTTTCCTCACTTTCTTTTACTCTCTCTCTCTTTTCCTCACTTTGTTTTACTCTCTCTCTCTCTTTCCTCACTTTGTTTTACTCTCTCTCTTTCCTCACTTTGTTTTCTCTCTCTCTCTCTCTCGCTCTCTCTCTTCTCTCGCCTTTTGTTTTACTCTCTCTCTCTCTCGCGCCTCACTTTGTTTTACTCTCTCTCTCTCTCGCGCCTCACTTTGTTTTACTCTCTCTCTCTCTCGCCTCACTTTGTTTTTACTCTCTTTCTTTTCCTCACTTTGTTTTACTCTCTCTCTCTCTCTCACTTTGTTTTACCTCTCACTTTTGTTTTGTTCTCTCTCTCTCTCTTTCCTCACTTTGTTTTACTCTCTCTCTCTCTCTTTGTTTTACTCTCTCGCTTTTCACTTTTGTTTCTCTCTCTTTCTCTCTCTCTCTCTCTCTCGCCTCACTTTGTTTTACTCTCTCTCTCGCCTCACTTTGTTTTACTCTCTCTCTCGCCTCACTTTGTTTTACTCTCTCTCTCACTTTGTTTTACTCTCTCTCGCCTCACTTTGTTTTACTCTCTCTCTCGCCTCACTTTGTTTTCTCTCTCTCTCTCTCTCCCTCACTTTGTTTTACTCTCTCTCTCTCGCCTCACTTTGTTTTACTCTCTCTCTCTCTCCTCCTCACTTTGTTTTACTCTCTCTCCTCACTTTTTTTTCCTCACTTTGTTTTTACTCTCTCTCTCTCCTCACTTTGTTTTACTCTCTCTCTCTCGCCTCACTTTGTTTTACTCTCTCTCTCTCGCCTCACTTTGTTTTACTCTCTCTCTCTCGCCTCACTTTGTTTTACTCTCTCTCTCTCGCCTCACTTTGTTTTACTCTCTCTCTCTCGCCTCACTTTGTTTTACTCTCTCTCTCGCCTCACTTTGTTTTACTCTCTCTCTCGCCTCACTTTGTTTTACTCTCTCTCTCTCGCCTCACTTTGTTTTACTCTCTCTCTCTCTCTCGCGCCTCACTTTGTTTTACTCTCTCTCTCTCGCGCCTCACTTTGTTTTACTCTCTCTCTCTCGCGCCTCACTTTGTTTTACTCTCTCTCTCTCGCCTCACTTTGTTTTTTACTCTCTCTCTCACTTTGTTTTACTCTCTCTCTCTCGCCTCACTTTGTTTTTCTCTCTCTCTCTCTCTTTGTTTTTTACTCTCTCTCTTTTTTTTTTTACTCTCTCTCTTGTTTTTGTTCTCTCTCTCTCTTTTTTGTTTTTCTCTCTCTTTGTTTTCTCTCTCTTTTTGTTTTCTCTCTCTCTCTCTTTGTTTTTTTGTTTTTACTCTCTCTCTCTCTTTCCTCACTTTGTTTTTCTCTCTTTTCCTTTTTTTTTACTCTCTCTTCCTCTCTCTCTCTTTCCTTCCTCACTTTGTTTTTACTCTCTCTCTCTTTCCTCACTTTGTTTTTACTCTCTCTCTCTTTCCTCACTTTGTTTTTACTCTCTCTCTCTTTCCTCACTTTGTTTTTACTCTCTCTCTCTTTCCTCACTTTGTTTTTACTCTCTCTCTCCCCGATTTATTTCTTTCACTCCCTCTCCACTTTCCCACTTTTTCCACCACCTTTTTTTCCTACTCTTTTCTCATTATCCCTTTTTACACTTGCCCTTTCAATGTGCATCCACACGCTGCCTTTCTCTTTTATATCTCTTGATCAATAATACCCCCTTTCTCTCTTTACCGTCCGTCTAACTAATCCCTATTTATCTGTGTGTCCTTAGCTTATCTTAATATGTATCTGTGTAATCGTATCAAATTAATCGTGAATCTAATGATCAATTCGTTCATTTTTTGCTATCTCTATTGGTATATCTTTCGATCTATTTATGTTTATATTCCCATAAATTATCAAGCATTTTTCTTCATTCTCCATCTTGGCATCTGTTGATTAGTTTCCCTCTCGGCAGCCTTCTTTAATTTTTAATCTGCCTTTCTTTCTTTGTCTTCCTTCATATCTGCCTGACTGCCTACCTGCCTGCCTGTCTGTTTTTTTTTTTTTTAATTCTTTCTTTTTGTCTCCCTTTTTCTTTCAATCTGCCTGCCGGTTTTCATTCTTCCTTTCTCTGTCTCCCCTTCTTCCTTTCTCTCTCTGCCTCTCCCTTCTTCCTTTCTCTCTCTGCCTCTCCCTTCTTCCTTTCTCTCTCTGCCTCTCCCTTCTTCCTTTCTCTCTCTGCCTCTCCCTTCTTCCTTTCTCTCTCTGCCTCTCCCTTCCTTTCTCTCTCTGCCTCCTCCTTCCTTTCTCTCTCTGCCTCCTTCTTCCTTTCCCCTTCTTCCTTTCCCCTTCTTCCTTTCCCCTTCTTCCTTTCCCCTTCTCTCCTCTCTTTCTTTATCCTCTCTTTCTTTTCTTTTCTCTCTTTTCCTTTTCTATCTTTCTTTCTGCCTGTTTTTTTTTTCTTTCTGTCTGCCTTTCTTTCTGCCACTCACATCCAGTGATAGTTCCTCGTTCTTGCTAGAATTTAGAAAGTTCAATTTCTATTCGGGCTTCCACTGTTCTAAAATCTTATTCGAATAAGATCAGTTGGATATCATTTTCACTGAGTCTTCCGATGTGTCCTTGTCTGCTTTTCATCCCTAACCCCTACTCCATAACTCTGTGTATGTCTGTGGCTTCTCTTTGCCTCCAACCCACAACTCACTACTGTATCCGTTGTAGTCTGTTCTTCCTCGAACTAAGATTGTCACCGTGTGTGTCGGAGCCTGCTCTTCCTGTACCTGTCTTTGCCATTCTGTTACCTTCAACTTGTTTTATCTAAATCTCTCCATTAATTTTTTTTTTTTTTGTGTGAGTATGTGGAATATTGGCCATAAAGTTGTTTCACTCCGGTTTTGAACGCACCTTCCAGTATCTTCCTGTGCACGTTCGGGATTTCTGTGCGCTCTCGGTCGTGCGTACGTGAGACATGCGCCGTGAGACGGGGAAAGCGATGGGATTGGTCGATCAGGGCGCAGGAAGCAATATAAGGCAAGGACACGCGTGGATCTACAGAAAAACGGAATGTTTCAGAAGGACGAATTAAGGTGAGCCCGCTTGGGCGTAGATTTCGATTTTTTTCCCCCCTTTTCTCGCTCTCTTTTCTCTTCCTACTCTATTCCCTTCTCTATCAGGAGCACAAACGAACGTGCTTTTTTTTTTCTCTGTCTTCTGAGCTTTCGGTTTCATTTTGATGGTCGATGTTCTTTGATCCTATCTTTCTTTTCTGAAGGTGCACTGTGCGTTCCATTGAGAATTAATAACCTCCCCACTCTCTCTTGTGCGTGCAAAGGCACTAATCTGTTTTCTTTTAGTATTATTTGTTTTGGAATCATGCCTGAAGCCACAACATACGTACAAACATGAATATCTGCATTTGTACTGATGAGTCTGTCATGATTTGAAGTAGGGTGCGTATAGCTGAAGTTTTTCAGTTAATTTTTTTTTAAACCATGTCCCTTCGGGACGTAGGTGAGCATAGATCTCCACAAATTCCTTTTCTATATTTATTTGAATTACCACGCCTATTTACTGAGAGATAGTGATGTGGTTTCCCTTTGCCTTCTCTACGGTTTTATTTTAATTCAGAATTTTTCTTCTCCTAGACTGGATGCCAACTATGGCCAAAGAGACTACTCTACATTGCTATTAAACTCAAAGTATTAATACTTTTTCCAAGCGTTTTATGCGAAAGTGGGAATTTGAACTTCGATCTACCGATTTCTTGCCAATGACCGCTACGCTCTGGTATACATGTCGGTATTTCGAATATTTTTCATTTGGAAGCTTGGCGCAGTACAATCTTTCTCCTGCCTCTATAAACCTGCGACTTATTCTTTATGTAACGCATCCCTTCAGAGCAGAGGCGATCATGGCACAACACAGTTTTCTGTCTTTCGTAGCGTTTAATAAATGTTTCTTTGTTATTTCTCCTAAACCTTGTTCTGACATCCATTTACTCAAACTTACTATGTACACCCTGCCCCTCTTGCTTTCAATCTACCATGTGAGTATCAGATTTTCCAAGCCCTCTTTCCTCATTCTGTGCCCGAGAGATTTCAACAGTCTCTTCCTGTTGTTAAGTATAAGTTTTCTTTTTGTTTTCATTTTCTCTAAAATTTTGTCGTTGCCCACATATTCGGTCCATGGTATTCTCGGCATCCTTCTGTAGAACAAAATTACTATTGCCCCAAGTCTCTTCTTTATTTGTGAGGAGATTATCCAGCATTCACCGCTATAGAGGAAGACTATTATTACGTAACAGTTCAGCAGTCTTTTCTATGTTTCTAACAAAATATTTCTATTTCTTAATACTTTGCTTAGGTTTTGGAATTCTTCTTTAGCCATCCTAATGTACATTCGAATTTCAGTATCGCACTTTCCGTTCTATGTTAAAACACTTCGCAAATATTGTTTGATTTTGGTATCCCCAATTTGTAATTTACATTTTGGGCTCCAGATATTTATATACTTGTAAGGACCTAAAAGCGCCAAAATTGCCCTAAGAACAAGACTACTTTGTAATAAGAGTTCTTTAGAAAATTGGTGCCATATTTAGGCTAGAAATGCCTAATATCCATTTTCCGACTTTGATAGATTCCAAAATAGTTTCCGGTTTAAGAATTATTTTCTCATTTGCATTGACTTTCCCACAGACACAACCTCAAAAACCTATTGTCTGTTGCTATTGTCTTGAGAAATATTGAATTTAGCTCCATTCTTTAGTTCACCAATTCGAACATTTACAACGATGACACACCATGCTCTCTCTATGCTCTCTCTATGCCCTCTTAATTCCTTGGGGAACATAGGTCCGCAACAGCACTTCTCCAGCGGACACGGTTTCGGGCGATCCTCTTCAACTCGGCCCATGTCGTATCGGCTGCCTTCACATCTGCGTCAACACTTTTGGTCTACCTACTTTTCGCTTCCCATGTGCATTCCAGCCAGGGCCCTGCCTGGTGACACTAGAAGCAGGTTTGCGGAGTGTTGTGGTCGATCCATCACCATTTCAGTTTCTTCATTGGGGCTTGTCTGGTCTGTCCCACAATTGGTAGTTGGAGACGGTCCTCCCCACCACTTGGTACTGAGGATTTTCCTCAAACATCGGTTAGTAAATGCCTGAAGTTTGTGGGTGTTGGTCTTGATTACCCGCCAGGTTTCTGAGCCATAAAGTAGGATCAACTTGACGTTGGTGTTGAAGATCCGGATATTGTTATAAAGTGAGAGAGATGTTGATCTTCATGCTACTTACTTGTAATGGGATCACCCTTATTACCTACGTATTCCAAATGTAACGCGAAAATCCCACTAGGATAGCATTTTTTTTTTTTTCACAAGAATGACTACTTTGGGGAACAGACTCCTGCATGGATGTTTCCTTGAACTTTACATGCTTAAAATTTTCAGTGGCTGGTCGTTTATCTATCCACATTATCATCATAAACTTCACTTCCAACTATCTCGCATTGATATCACGTACCCCACTAATCATAACCACTTTAACTTGAGTGCCTCTCGAGCATTTATGTATTTGTTGAGCTTTATCATAAAAACAACATTTCGAATAATGCCTTAGTATTGTGACCTTGTACTCGATTTATAGAATCATCTGCAAACCCGTTCTGTATTCTTAACCTTATTGGGTTAGGGCTATTAAATTATATTAAATTATCTTTTTACGATCGCGACTGAACTGCCGGTAAAATTGTAAGCCACATTAAAAAAAATGTGAAAAGCTGAATTTACCATTAAGTTGAATAACTTCAAATAGTGAAAGCATCTGACAAAGATGAAATTAAAATTTTTTGAATAGTTAATAGGAAAGCAAAATGTCGGAAGAGATTCCCATAGGCAAGAAACTATTAAAATAGAATTTGCGCTTACAACGGTAAAATAAGTAGACCTATCAGCCAATCTAGTACTGCGCTTAAATTCATGAGGTCGAGGTACCAAAGAGGAAAGCTTATTAGAACAATTGCCATGAATATCTTTATAGAAAAGACAGAAAGAAGCCGCTTCCGACTATCTCCACTTACATTGATTTGCGCTGGGAAATTGGCTGAAGCCGTGATGCCAGGTCAGGACTGATAACTTTGCAGACTAGTTATTTAAGTTAGCTCGTTATATTTCGGCTAGGCTGTATTATAAAATGTGTCAAAACTTTAGTTTGTTCTAATAACTTCCATGGTGAAACAATAAATTTTAGCGGGAGAAAATTAAGTCTAATTACCAATGTATTAATAGCCTCAACTACATAAAAGGATCGCAAACAGAGATATGGTTTTAGTTTTCATTGTCTCAACCCACTGACTTTGCAGTTACTCCAATAGATATTTAATCATAGACTTCTCTGTAAAAGCAGGATAAATAATTCAGAGGCCAGGAAGCAAAAAAAAAAAAAAAAGAGAGGAAAAATATTTTTCAATTTCCCAACTGAAATTTGAAAATCTACAACATGGTGATCAGGAATTGAGACAAACGTGACTGACTGAATGGAGATAAACCGATATAGAAAAGGCTGAATAAATAATCAATTATCTGATACAGCTTTTAGCAAAAAGTGTTCTATAATAAAATAAAAATTTATCTTAGTATATTAATCGGTCAAGCAGCATGATCACCTGTATTTACTTATGATGTAGTGCGTTGCTATCGTTGTAGGAGACGTTATCCAATTTGTTTCTAACTATGGTATTGCTTTTTATATATGTAATTTCCTGTTACTTTCTTTGGGATATTTTGACTTTTCATAAGTTAAAAAGCCTATTTCTTTTTTTCTTATGCGACAACAAAGCAAGCTGTGTAGATAAAATCCTAACTAACCCACGCAGAAAATACAACTGCATAAGTATTTACTGATGACAGATGCCATTTTTTTTTATTATTATTTATTTCATATTTCATTTCGTTTTATTGCATATTTATATTTTCATCATTTTGACTTTATTTTATTTTTGTCTTTAATTTTTTTTTTACTTTTACTTTTTTCCCTCGTTATTTACTTTAGATTTTCACTTTAGCTTTACATTTTATTCTTTTTTTACTTTTTCTTTTTTACTTTTTATTCTTTTTTTTACTTTTTATTCTTTTTTTTACTTTTTATTCTTTTTTTTTACTTTTTATTCTTTTTTTTACTTTTTATTCTTTTTTTTACTTTTTATTCTTTTTTTTACTTTTTATTCTTTTTTTTTTTACTTTTTATTCTTTTTATTCTTTTTATTCTTTTTTTACTTTTTATTCTTTTTTTTACTTTTTTTTTACTTTTTATTCTTTTTTTTACTTTTACTTTTTATTTTTTTTTTACTTCTTTTTTACTTTTTATTCTCTTTTTTTTACTTTTTACTGCTTCTATTTTTTATTATTATTTTGTCTTATTTCTTTTATTTTCATTTTTGTTACCATCATCATTTTTTTTTTTTTTTTTTTTTTTTTTTTTTTTTTTTTTCATTTTAAGCTTTCTCGTTACAGCACAATTAGTTTTGATTATAATGGCCAGCTGATGTGATTCATGGAGAAACGTTGAATTTTGTTGGAAAATACTTGCTAAATGATTTTATTTTTATAGTTAGGCGACGGACTTAGTGATGTATTTCGGCGTCTACGTAACGCAGGCTTTCTCTCCATTTCGAAATTTCTCTTTCAACGCTTTGTATCTTTCTTGCCTCAGAAAAACACGCATGACTTGTTTTCTAAACAAAGGTGAAACGACATAATTGTCTTTGTTAAAAATGAAGCTCTTTTTAAATTAGAAGCACATTTCGTTTCAGTCTCTCTTTCACTCTCCCTCCCTCCCTCATATATATACACGTCTGCTGTTTGTTCGTGCTTAATGAAGATTGCCTTCGTCTACATAGCATTCTTTATTCGTCCATGCAGGCGTATAAACCTTACTTTAACTTTGCCTGTCTCTCCGCGCGTTTCGCAAGTGTGCAGCAGCATCACCCGTTGATAATAGATGCATCAACGGAGTTGCAGATATAAACATTGTCTTCCCCACATATTCATTCTCTCTCTTTCGACTCCTTCTTTTTGAATATAGCATACTGAAAACTATCGCCCACTAAAATCATTTGAACCTTTATTTCTAATGACCTGGAATTTACTTACGTCCACTTTGACACGCTCATGAACACCCGAGTAAAAAGAAAATCCGATGCAGATTTAAAAAGGTGTTACTTTTTTAAAAATTGTTTTTAGGAGAGAAAGAAAAAATGTTTGTAGATATTTTTTATTTCGCTTCATTTAATTTCTTACGTAAAAAAATAAACTATTATTTCATTGTATATCAAAAGACAAGGATTGGCCCGAAATATTTTCTTCAACAAAATATAACCTTAAAAGGGATGGAAATTTTAATATTAATGTAAATGTTGACAGATATACATCCCCTATCTCTGTCTCTCTCTCATATACACATATATTTAGTTGTGTGGGGGTAGAAATACCTCCCACATAATGGTAAGGCATTAGTCATAATGGTGTCTTCATCTAGCTAAATGTCTTACCATTATGTGAGAGGTATTTCTGCCGCACCCTTTATATATATATATATATATATATAGTGAGAGCGAGCGAGAAAATAAACCACTATATATAGAAAGGGAGAGATATGTAGACCCTATATATATATGAGAGAGAGAGAAACCCCTCTGTGTGTGTGTGTGTGTATATATAGAGAGAGAGAGTGAGGGAGTCCCTATATGACTTTTTGTATACCACTTTGCAGTAAGGTATTTCTCTTAAAAGCATGTTCACTTAAAACCTTCCATACAGCGTCACTCTGTCTTATTACTATCTATAAATCAACTGCATACCAGAAACAATGTCAGATGCTAACTTATTCTCTTTATCGCTAGCTTTATTATTTCTCTCTCACTCTCTCTCTCTATCTCACTCTCTCTCTCTATCTCACTCTCTCTCTCTATCTCACTCTCTCTCTCTATCTCACTCTCACTCTCTCTATCTCACTCTCTCTCTATCTCACTCTCTCTCTATCTCACTCTCTCTCTATCTCACTCTCTCTCTATCTCTCTCTCTATCTATCTCTCTCTCTCTCTCTCTATCTATCTCTCTCTCTATCTCACTCTCTCTCTCTCTCTATCTATCTCTCTCTCTCTATCTATCTCACTCTCTCTCTCTCTATCTATCTCACTCTCTCTCTATCTCACTCTCTCTCTACTTCTTCCATTTTCTCAATTTCGTTTCCACCCCCATACCATATTTTTTGATCTCTCAATTTCTTTCCCCACCAGGTTTTTCAGTTTCTCAGTTATCCAACAACAGTTTTCCTTCTTTCAATTTCGTTGCCCACAAAATATTTTCTGTTCCTTAATTTCTTTCCTACAACATCCTTCATTCTCTCGATTTCGTATCTAACCCCATTTAAACCATTTAAATGCAGTATTTCTCAAATCTTAAGAGATAAACGACATCCATCTAATTGTCTCCCGGTCGGAAAGTTAGACTGATTTTTTTTTTTTTTTTTTTTTTTTTTTAATTAGTGTTGTCACATGACCCTTTATATAGAAGGGTATATCCCAACATATAAACATAACTTGTGCATAATTCTACCAGAACACACACACATTATATATATATATATATATATATATATATATATAAGAGAGAGAGAGAACATGATTAAATGAAGGATTGCTACCATAATATATTATTAAATAGAACATTTGGAGAGTATCTCTAGCCTTTTCGTTTGTTTCTAGTAGGAGAAACTCATAGAATGAATTAATAGACATTCTCTGCCCGTTGTGTTTAATAAAATGTGTTTTAATGAAGGAGTTATATTGAAATTGATTTAAAGCATAACTTTTCGAGATAAATTCTGGATGTGGTTAAAGGAACGTTTGGAAGATAAAAGCAAGAAAATCTAAAGAAGAAATGCGACCAAACAGTAACCAATTTGTATTCCATTGCTTGATTATTATTATTACCATTATTATTATTATTATTATTATTGCAGACGCTGTCTCCACTGCCTAGATTTTAATATGCGACTTTTCATATCTTGCCTGTTCTATCCCTTCTTACTCTGTCCTAACAATTCTTCGTTTTCCTCCTCCCTTTACCAATAAACCCCTTTCCGATAGGGTGGGTGGCTGGGAGATGCTGTATAATATTCCTGGGGTTTCCTTCGTTGGTCTTCGACTTTCGAAGCGTAATTCTACCATCAGGGCTACAGGAGTCCGTCTTCAGTCTTCCTTGAAATCGGGGAAAGGAGAGAAAGAATAAATGTAAGCCTAACCTTAGTCGCACTTAAAAATAAAAAAAAAAAGTCGGTTAGTTAAGTTGGCTTGGATTTCTTTTAAAAACAATAGCTAACATCTAGAAAAGAGGAACGGTAAGAAAAAAAAAAGAAAAAAAAGAAAAAAAAAAGAGAATAAATTAAAATATAAAGTTCGGTTTAGCACGATTTTTTTTCCTCCTCACTGCAACCTCGTTTTGATAGTCAAGAGTTTTTTTTTTCTCCAAGCATAAAACTGATTTCTACATTTTTAGCATTAAATTTTCAAGTAATTTTTTTTTTTTACTAATGTCTAACTAATACATGGCCCAAGAGCCACTCAAGGTAGAGGGTCACTGTGTGGAGTTGTATTAGTGTAAGAAAGGGCAAGATAACAGGAAAGACATAATTCCAGACTTGAAGAGGTCAAGATAATACTAAGCTAATAAAAGTTCAAGCGGAGACATTAGGAGTAAAGAGTTGAAGTAGACTTTAGAATGAACAAGAAACCTTATCCACAGCAGGAAACAAGGGATAAACTCCTGTTCAAAAGACCGGGGAGCATTGGAAGCGGGCGATAGGCAAACCTATCTACTTCTCTTGGGAGGGGAGAAAAAAAAATTCTGAATAAGTTGAATGAACCGGAAATCCAATCTTAAACAGGAAAATCCTGAACATACTTCTGATTGCTATTGCAATATTTTGTTAAGGTTGTTAAGCTCTATTATTTAACAATATTACTCCTGGGTCTGACGATTTACTTTATCCGGCAGCAAGGACTCTTATCGAGATATTGGAGATTAAAGCCACCTCTTAATTGCTATTGTTCGCACGTCCACCCTGACCCAGTGGTGGGGTAGCACCTGTTAGGGTCCTAGCTATGGGAAAATATTATTATTTGTTTATCTATTTATTTATTTATTTTGGTGTTTCACTAAGTCTAGTAATACATTTTTATAGCAAAATGGCAATCAATACAACACTAAAGTAGAAAAATATATTTTATAGTAAAATTACCAGCAATACATTTAATGATCTATAATCTATGTACCTAAATAAATCTACGTTTGCTCTGAAAGTATTAAATTATCTGCAAAATATCTGTAGTTTTAGGCATAGCATTGCGTACAAAGTATTTAGATACATACATAAATAAATAAATAAATAATCTATAGAGGTTGAGATGCCGCTAAATTAAAAGCAACTAAATTTAACAATACAATTAAGAAATTTATAGTAATGTAACTCGCCATGAGCTTATTCAATCACTAACTTAACATTTAAGATTAATCAGAAAAAAGAAATAGAAGAATAGCTACGAAAATTGGTGGTTATTTAAAGAAGTAAGAAAATACAAATGAAAAAATTTGAAATTGACACCTTTTTTCTTTTCACTGAAACAGACGTGAGGCACTTCTTTCTTCCCTCTTTACTTTCTTTCTTCCCTCTTTACTTTCTTTCTTCCCTCTTTACTTTCTTTCTTCCCTCTTTACTTTCTTTCCTCCCTCTTTACTTTCTTTCTTCCCTCTTTACTATCTTTCCTCCCTCTTTACTTTCTTTCGTCCCTCTTTTCTTTCGTCCCTCTTTTCTTTCGTCCCTCTTTTCTTTCGTCCCTCTTTTCTTTCGTCCCTCTTTTCTTTCGTCCCTCTTTTCTTTCGTCCCTCCATTCTAGCTTCCCTTATTTCTTTAATTTTCCCACTGAAACCAAGTAGCGTTTCTGTTATGTCTTTTCCGTCTTTCCGCACTATCAGAACGGAATAGTCCATTATTTTTAGGTAATGACAGGAGACGTTAAACACTTATCTTTTCTCTTCTTCCTTTATTTCATTAATCTTCTGATTGAATAGTCCATCATTTAATATTTTTACGCGCTAACTAAGTAAAAAAAAAAAAAGTAGAATTATAATGAGATTTTTTCTATTAATTTAAAAACAAAATTTAAGGTAATAGTAATATCGAATTGCGAAAATCTATCTTCCAAGAAAATAAGGAGATAAAAAAATTTTAAGAGTAGGAAGAAATCGAAGTAATTTGGAAAATTTACCAGAATCCAGTGCACCCAATTAAATCCACAAGAAAGTATTCTTAATTCAAACCCATCTTTAAATATTTATCGAGTAAAAATGACGCCATCTTGTGTAATGGAAAGTGAGAGCCACAAATAATATATCATTTCAATTTTTTCCTTTACACGACGCTGTTTTTCTTTTACTCTCTCGTTCACTCACACTCATACACACACGAGTTTCACTTAAGCTGGCAATAGTAGAGCACCCGACTGTGATCAAACTTATTACTTCTAAATGTCCAATGAGTCGAACTGATTGACCATTACGTTGACTGTAGCCACCATTGTGACTTACGCTTAACTTAATACGCAAAGGCAATCAGTATGCAAATGAAATCACTTCAGTTTGCGAGATGAACGAATATCTTGCTCGCTATTTATCGACCCACCCACGAGGATTGAATATGGCACAAGGCCGGTTTAATGTGGGTATCTCCGAGCCAAAAATATACCCTTTGAACCCGCCTAGACGGGTTCAGGCTCTGTCTACCTCCCCGGACGAAACCTTGCCCTTCGGCAAAGCTTCATCCGAGTTCCTCTCTGCTAACGCAGAGAGTTCGACAGACGTCGCTTACAGTCAAAGACTGTATCACGACTCAGCTAGACTCGGAGGTCTTGCTCAACGAATACCTTGCTCTACAGTGACGCATTCTCTTTTCTGTTTTGTACCTTTCATTTCTCTCTCTCTCTCTCTCTCTTGTGCCACCATTTCACTTTTTTCTTCTTTCTTTCTCTTTTTTCTTCTTTCTTTCCTCTTCTTCCCTTTTTCTGTGTTCCCATTTTTTTCTTCACATTTCTTTTACTCCCCACTCTCTCTGTGTCATCATTTTCACCTCTCTCTCTCTCTCTCTCAATCTTATTTTCTTCTCTGTACCCCATTTTCTCTTTTTTCACTTCTTCCCCTCTCTCAGATTTTCTTGTTTTTTCCTTCACTTTTCTTTTCACGTCTATTTGTCCAACGTTTTCTGATTTCCACTTTCTTCTCCCTATTTTATCTTTTTCACTTCTCTTTCCCTCTCTTCCGTTTTTTACCTTTTTCATTTCTCTCTCTCTTCCCCGTTTTTTTTTATCTTTTTCACTTCTGTCTCTCTTCACTCTTTTTAAACTGTTTCAATTATCACTCTCTCTTCTCCCTATTTTATATTTGTCACTTCTCTATCTCTCCTCCCTATCTTTCACTTCTCTCCCTTCCCCTATATTATTTTTTTAATTTGACTCTCTCTCTCTCTCTCTCTCTCTCTTCACAAATCCATTCAAAAGAAAATAAGAAACTCTTTTCACAGGAAATTGAAGGACATTCTTAATAAAGCCTGGCATGAATTGCAAATTCGAAAAAGTGCAAATATTTGTCAATAAAATAATTGCCGTAAAATAAAAGTATCACGGTCTTATAGATCGAGGTTCCTGCTACAGAGGATATGGAATCAATTGTTGCCATTTCATCGCTACAGAGAAATCAATAACAATCAACTATAAAAGTTGGACAAGGGAATACTGATTATTCTCCGAAAATATTGCTAATCATGTTTTGTAGCAGTTGCTTTTCAGAGACGAATAAACGAACTTTAACGATTTCTGGATAGAAAATAATTTCATAATACAGAGGAAATGCTATTTAATTTAGGACAATTGTCCGAGGGAATCACGAACTGATAAAAATACTGAGGGTAATGAACTATCTTCAATCGTTTGCCAACCTAAGAAAATAGTCAAAAGATCAGAACAAAGGGTTACCGTAGAAACGTACAGAAAATATCGGTTAGTGTTTAAACCCTTCCCCGCCAATTTTGGTAAAAAAAACGTTTCATTTTCAGACGATATTTTAGTTCATTTTAATATAGTAACTAATAAAATAGAGGCACCTTGAAGTAACCGAGCGATGGCTAACAACTGTACCAGATGCATGAGTTGACAAATGGACTCGTTTCAAGCTCAGCAGGGCATTAAAAAGAATCGAGATCGACGTATAAACACGTCTGTATTTGTTTTTTGAACGTTATATTTTGGACGTGTTTATTCGTCGGTGCCTGACAAACACTTTCTGTAAAAAACGTATATACACGTCTACGCCGGCGCAGGTATTTTTTTTTTTTTAATTTTTTTTTTAAATTTTTTTTTTTTTAGATGGTATTTATTAGCAATGAAAAAGTTATTAGAATAATACAAAGCTAGAAAAATTATGAAAAAAAAAAATAGGAGAGGCAACCATATCTCAGCTTCCATCGGGATTTATTTTGCGAGCAAAGTTCTGTGTGGAATTTAAGATGTATTTGCTTAGAGCACTGCTAAGAAAGTGAATTCTGTCGTCATACTACGCCAGGATCTTGTCGCTTTGTATTTGACTAAAATAAATTTAATTCATTTATACATAAATTCTCTACAAAATGAGATAAGTAATGATGACTCCACAGTGGGCATACTCTCCTTAATAAAGTAACGATTGAAAGAGTTTCACTGACTGGGAATGGATAATCAGAAGTATGCTGTAATTCTTAGTATGGGTCGTCGGTTTATCAAACATCACTAAGCCTTTATTATACTTGAATATGAATGCGTCTTTGTTGGGGAAAGAACTTCTATATATTAAATCATTCTACTTTTTCTCAAGCACTTAACATTTACATTAATGTTATGTATGTTACATTTTAGGTTGTAAAAGGTTTCCTTTTATATTCTGGAAGGCATATAAAAAAGAATTATGCGTTATATATATATATATATATATATATATATATATGAACCGCTATGCATTACTCCACCGTGCCTCCAAAAAATCGGTGAGTGGAGTTCAAATTACAGTCGAGTTCATTGCATTTACTTACTTGCTAATAGCGTTGGGAAAGGTGTGACACCATATCTTCTTCCCTCCCCCAAGCTTTGTGTAGACAGCAGGACAGACAGGGTCCTATAGCCCTGGGTGGCGAACCGCCTAGAAGGAGGACAACTCTGAATTCAAAACTAGCAGTGGGTCTTTTGGGAAGCTTGTGGCATAATGTGCACCAGTTGTTTGTATTCGGATCTTGCAAAAAATGTGGTTGGCTCTGCACAAGCCTTCACCACTATAATCAAATGATTACACCAGTGACTTCACCAGTATGCATCGAAAACGACGGGAGTTGTTAACATATATTATTAAATATAACAGACAATGAATGACAATTATTTCTGTCCAAAATTTGCATATTTTTTTATTAAGTTCGTCCTCTGCTTTCGGCTCATGTGAGCCATCCTCGGAGTGGTTATGCTGACATGGAACAAAGATATCCACTATCAAAGATGATATTTTGTTATTTCGACATAGAAAATTGCTATGCGGCGATAACGGTCGTGGAATAGCAAACGCAGATCGTAAGTTCAAGAAGCGGTTACGATCAACATAATAAAAAAATATGCATATGTTGGACAATTTTTGTCTTTTTCACCAGAAATTAAAGCAAACATTCGAACGGCTCGTGATCAAACATTCATTGTCTGTTAGATTTAATAATATGTTTAAATAATGATCTGCTGCCACAATACAAACTCTGTTTTTATATATATATATATATATATATGGAAACAGTGTGTGTGTGTGTCTAATGATCTTTAAAAAGGGGTCATATTTTATTCATATAAAAGAATACAAAGTATCACGATGATTAAAATTTTACGTACCTTTCGATCGACACATCTTCAGGAAAAATAATATCGTCGGCAAGTAAAACTAAGTGGTTGAAAAAAAAATTATTTTCAACAACTGGTGTTAAAATATACCAAAACTAGGGAAGAGAACAAATTGAATTGATGACCGGCTCCCCGAACACGGCAACTTGTGTTTTAATTCTCTCTGCTTACACAGTGCAGGGCGTTGTATATTTATAACAACGGACTCCAAGAAGATGTTCAGGTGGAGACTGATCCGTGTCATGTGCAAGACAAACTCAGGGGAATTGCAAGCAAAAGAATTCAATAAATGCTCGTCAATAGCGGAATCATGAGCCTGTGAACACCCGGATGCTACAGGCAGATGTCTCCGTACTTGGCCCGGAATATGCTGGGCGATCCTAACTTCTAACCTCTGGATAGTCCTGCTCACACAGTTGATCTCACATCGACATTTATATTGGTAAACAAGTAACCTCTGTTGCTGCGCAGGCAGCACTTCCTTGAGGTCAGAGGGGAAAACTTTTCTGGTAAAAAAAAAAAATATATATTCTGGACCAATACGGCATTCAGACACAGTTTGATGAAAGAAGATATTTTATCGGCGTATATTTGACTCGAGAGAGCAATCCACGGTAGTCTAACATATATCGGATATTCAAGGGGACTTTATACTTTAACCCCATTGAACTTACTAATTTTACGTTCAATGGTAGCTGTGATAACACATTCAGGTTAACCATTTGCCAGAAACAGCTGTTTAATTTTCCTAAGCTCCGCGTCAAGCATGTACTCACAAGACGGCATCAAATTACGGTGAGTAAGGACATTAATAAGATTGATTTGCCTGGTTTTGGAAGCAAATGAGTCCCAAGTGAAGTATAACCCAGAAAAAAGTATGTTTTCGATAAATACTAGTGAGAAAATCCGAAGGTGTTCTTTCTACCATCACATCCAGAAAAAAAGGTAGCTGATTGTTCTCTTCTACCTCCATAGTATATTTCAAAAGGGGTGTGTGGAGATTATTAAGATATGAAAAGAACTCTTCTACTTTACTACGAGAAGAAAACGGCGTAAACGTATCTTCGACGTAGTGGAAGTAACAGTAGGGCTTAGCAATCCTATGAAATAGTTGTTTGCGGAGATTGAATTTATAAAGCATATATATATATATATACTCTGATGTTTGGTCATTGAAATACTGATTTAGATAAAGGGATAGGCCCGAGAGATTTTCAGCAACCCCTAGTAAAAATCATATATACACGCTTTAGACATATTTATGCATATATTAATAATAATACAAATTTTAAAAAAAGCGTGAAAATAACGAGAATTTAACGTATTTTTTTTTTGATCAGCCGAACTTATGTAAAAAAAAAAAAAACAAACCAAAAAACACTGAATATATATCTACAGCCATAGATACTGATTTTCTAAGCGTAGCTAAGCTTTTCTAAACATTACAACGCCTAGAAGTGCCCAACTAGTTATAATACTCAATTAAATGAAGAAAAGTTCAATTATCTGATGGATCAAATGAAGAGTTTCGGATCGAAATGTTCATCAAAGCCAGATGTTCGATCGATCTCTGTCGAAGTTTTGTTAATTTTTATATATAAATTATTATAGAACTTATATAACCGATTGAAGAATCATTCTTTCAGTATTTAATAGCAACTTAAACGCACGATTTTCTTTGACTAATCTTCATGCTATTAAAGTCCAAAATGCACTCACCGTAGTGGATACTGAAGGAAGTCGTATATACAGTAAAACGTGCAGTTCATGAGGATAAATGGGGAACCTAACAATTACACCTAGTCTCGAAAAGGTTAAGATTATTGTGGTCGGTTCGCGGTGCAGAATTAATTTCAACACGGAACTAGAAAAGATGAATACTGAATTATCTTCTTTACTAAGGATTTTTAATGATAAATTTAAAAAAATAACACCAACTGATTGCATTTTGTTTATGAATTCACGGAAATTGATAACTTTGAATTTTAAATCGAGTTGAAATTAGTTCCGAGGTAAATTCCGGGGTGATATTAATTTCCGGTTGAAATTCTGTCACTCTTTGGTTTGTTTAACGGCATATCAACTCCTTATGGGTCATTTAATGCCAGAGTTTAATTTTCTTGAGAGTTTTGGTAATTTTCTTTTAAAAATGTATTGTTGACAATTTTTCTTTTCTTTTTCTAATAATTCGGGCATCTTTTTTTATTATGAAAATATATTGCTGGTATTTTTATATTTTCATAATTTTTTGACCCCAGTTTGGGGTTTCACTATTTGCCTATAGTTTGGACCTTAACAGGTGCTAGCACTCCGGCTCACGATTGATCTGGGAATAATTGCAATTAAGAGTTGGTTCTAAGCTCCTCAAAACCTCATGATCAGAGGTTTTACTGCCGGATGTAGTTTATCATCATACCCAGGACGACTAGTGGTCGGATAAGTATCCTCTAAAGAATCTGTTCCAGAAAGTAGCCGTTCGTGAAAAGCTGTTCAAATGAAACTTTCTTCTTACTTACAGAATATGACTGGAGGGAAGATTGTTCGTTCTTTATACATGGTGGGTTTTAGTTGTGATGGTTAGAATTGGTGAAACTAAAGAATGTAGCTTGTCAGAAACAGCTCCAGTGTAGTTATTTTTTTT